CTAGGGCCACCAGCCTCATGCATACCAGGATAGCTATGACTGTTGCCTAACACTCTGTGCATAGCAGTGTCATATAGCAATGTCAAAAGATTAGACAGGGCTTCAGAGATGGCTCAGGGGTAGAGTATTTGCTTCATAAGCATGAGGACTGGTGCTCCAGCCCCAGCACCCATGTAAAACGTCAGGTGTGGTAGGAGGTGCTCGGCACTGGGGAGGATGAGACAGTTGGATCCTGGGTTTGTTGACCAGTTGGCCTAGTCTTCTTGGTAAGTTCCAGGTCAGTGAGAGACTCTGTCTCAAAAATCAATTGGATGTTTCCTGAGGAACAACACCTGAGATTGATCTCAGTCCTCCACATGAATACAGGTGCACCTCTGCATACAAGAATATGTACCTCTGTCCCCACAAAGCTGGGTACCCTTGAATAGTATCTGAGAATGTGGGTAGGCTTTACATAAATGCTTTTTTTATGGTTTACACATAAGACAGGTTAGTGTCCTCGGACATTGTTTTCTCTAAGGACCCACCAGGTAGATGAAGAGGGGCACTGTATACTAACATAACTGTCCCAGCTTAGTCTGACCTAAAGAACAGAACCCAACACTAGATTTTCATGTAAGTTTTTTGGAGGAAGAGTTCCAGGAAATTAGAGTCAGGGGACTATGGAGGGAGAATGAATACATTAGCAAACTTATGGAAGCTATGATACCACACCTTGGACAGCTAGGACTGGGTCTCACTGGAGTGCCCTGGGAACTATGCAGAACAGAATATGTCTTCAGTGTGTCCACAGCAGACATGGGTAATCCACTGCTCCCACCACTCACTGGCCAAGGGCTAAAACATTCCCATTTCCAGAAATGGGTGTGCACATGGCTGAGACGACTCCTACAAAGATCTTCATGGACCCAATGACAGGGAGTAAGAGATGTCCCTGGCAATATGAAAAGCATTGTTTCATGACACTTCCTCCCAGCTCCCCATTCACAGCAGCACAGATGCTTAGTTAAAAATATTAGTCATGGGCTGGAGAGATGGCACAACAGTTTAAAGCCCTGGCTGCTTCCAGAGGACCAGAGTTCAATTCCCAGCACCCACATGGCAGCTCACAACTGTCTATAACTTCAGTTCCAGGGACTGTGACACCCTTACATGGACACACATGCAGGCAAAACACCAATGCACATAAAATAAAAATAAACGAATCATTTAAAACTGTTTTTTTTTTAATGTCAATCATGGCTCAGAAGGGAAAAGCACTTGATACCTGTCTTATCTTGGGTTTCCATTGCTGTGAAGAGACACCATGACCATGGGAACTATAAGGAAAAGACGTAATTGGGGCTTGCTTACAGTTTCAGAGGTTCAGTCCTTTATCATCATAGTGGGGAGCATGGAGGCCTGCAGGGAAACATGATGCTGGAGAAGTGGCTGGGAGTCCTGCATCTTGCATGCAACAAGAAATGGTCTAAAAGTCACACTGAGGGAAGTTTAAGAAAAAGAGACCTCAAAGCCCGCTCTCAGTGACACATTTCCTCCAACAAAGCCACACCTCCTAACAGTGCCACTTCCACTGGGGGCCATTTTCTTTCAAACCACCACAGTGCACAATCCTGAAGAACTGAGTTAGATCCCTACAACCTATATAAAGGAGGAAGGAGACAACTGGCTGCACAAAGTTGTCCTCTGCCCTCCACATGTTCACCATGGCATACCAGCAGTTCTCTATCCGTGGGCTGCATAGTAGAAATCCTGTACAGCAGACATTTACATTACAATTAACAGTAGCAAAATTATAGCTATGAAGTAGCAACAAAATAATTTTATGATTGGGGTTCACCACAACATTTGGAATTATATTAAAAGGTCACAGTATTAGGAGGTTGGGAACCACTGGCATACATCCATACCATGTGCATACACACACACAAATAATAATTTAAAAAAAATAAATCAACTCAACACCAGGGAATGGAGGCAGAGTCAGAAGTTCAAGATCAACCTTAGCCTGAACCTAGTTTCTTTGACTGAACATACGTGTTTGAGAGTCAGACAAGTGGCATGTCTCAAAATATCAGGTCCTTTTCAAAACCCTGTGGGAAGAGACACCATTGTTCATTTATCCATTCATCAAAACATTAGGCTGTTTCCAAGTTGGGAAAATTGTTACTAAATACGCCATCACTGCACACAGGCTTTTGTGGGAACATGTTTTCAGTGGTCTTGGACAAACTCCTGGGATTGGGATGACAGCATCAGAAATATAAATATGTGACTGAATAAGCATTGCAGAGCTGTGTTCCAAAGCAACCCTACCATGACACATAGTGGCTCACTCACATAGTATCCTTCACAACACTTAGGATTGTTGGCCTTTCTTCTTCGATATTTATTTATTCTTAGAGGGAGGCATGTGCTCATGTCACAGTGTGCAGATGGACATCAGAAGATAATATCTGAGGATTTGTTCTCTCTTTCTACCATACGAATGGGATCCAGAGTCCAAACTCAGGTTCTCAGGCTTGGTGGCAAGCACCACTACACAATGAGCCATCTCATCAGTTGCTTTTATTTGAGTATTTCTGATCCTGTGCAGTTTTTGTCTAGTGCAAACAAAGCCACAAGAAATATCTTCATAAGTAAATCCCTTTGTATTAGCGACTAATAGCTCTATAACATACACTGAGAACAAGAGCAAGTAAGTTAAAGGGTGAGGAAGGTTTATTTGCTCTCATCTAACAGTCTCTGGGTGGTGGTGCCAGTTTGCTCACCTGCCAGTTAGCTTTGGCATTGCCTGACTTCCACATCCTCACCAACAGTGCTTAATGTGAATGAATGCTTTACCTGTCTATGTTTAAGTTCTTATTATTTAAAGTGTAACTTTCCTAAGGAGATGTAAAACAAATGTCTATTCAGTCCAAATAGTGAAGAATACAGACCAAAGAAGGATTTAACCAAAGTTTGGTGAGTAAATGAGTTTACTAGGATTACTCACAGGAGCATGGGTGACTCAAGGCAGCTGCACAACTGCAAAGTCCCACCCCTCTGTTATTTTTTTTTAACCTTTGATATATTTTAGCAGTTTCAAGATTCATTGTAGTGGGAGAAGATATAACTGTTTATTTTGTTGCCAAGGCTGCAGTCTTCTGTAATAGGGACCTGCTTCATGATGGTGATAATCATGACATACCCACAGGAAACAGTCACACTATTATCGTCCTGGGTGATTCTGAGCTCCTGGCTCGGGATTACATGATTACATACAGAGTAGTTGGTACTATAGACATGCTACCACATTCCACAAGATGTGGAAAATTTAAGATGTATCTATTTTTCGTGAGCATGGTGATGGATCAATTAATGCATGATAACTACAATTCGTCACATTCTGCTTTGCCTCTGGATTCCTCATTAGTACATTCAGGAGTGTTGTTTTCACCTTCAGAATGGAGTTAGTCATTCTAGTTTTCTGAGTTGCTGACCAGGCATTCAGGCACCATGGTTTCACAGAATAGAAAGGGACCTTTCTAAGGTTACAGAACAGATCTACCCATCATACTCTAAGATGAGAATAGATTCCTCTAAAGTTTTGATTCTAAGTGTCTTCCTCCATTGTTTTCTACCTTCTATATTGTGACAAAGTTTCTCGCTTGAACTCAGAGCTTGTTGATTTGGCAAGTTGAGGGATCCTCTGTCTTTGCTAGTCAAGTATTGAGATTAGGGAAAGCCCAAATCAGCATTTACATGGGTGTTGAGGATTCTAAACTCTTCAGACATCTGCAGCAAGTTCTTTACTTATTGAGCCATTCCTCTACGTTGATTTCAAACCTTTGAAACTGCTACTCACTTAAGAAATATCTGGAGAACATTTACAGTGATGCACAACTGTCACCCCAGCACTTAGGAGGTTAAAGAAAGGAACATTAATTCAAAGTCACCCTGTGTCCTACAGAGAAACCTTAAAAAAGGAACAAAGCCAGCCTTAGGAAGAACACACATGTATCTTCCTTTAGACACATTTAATAGAAAACAAAACTGAATTTGACCAGTATGGTAGCACTCATTGGTGAAATCCCAGCACTCTGAGACGGAGGAAGGAAGACTGTTAGGTCAATGCTAGCCTGGGCTACAGAATGAATGTCCAGACAACCTGGACTACACAATGAGGCTGAAAAACAAACCAATGACTTCTTTTTAATAAAATCTATACTTCTTATTACATTTCACTTCCTTGAAAATATGCTGACTGGCATCCACTAATAAATAGACTTGCGCTATTGGATTGTCCATAATTTTAAGGGTCCAGTTTTAGAATCTAGGTCAATAATGCTTCTTATTTAACAGTGTCTTTGGCCTTCCTGGAGAGCCAACTGCAGTCATATTACCTCACACCGTTTTGAACATACTATTCCCATGTTCTTTTTTTTTTCTTGTAACGCTACATGTTATTCCTTTATCAGTTATTTCCACGAATAGCTCGGGGACTCCAAATGTACTTGGTATTAATGCTAGTGTAGAGAGCAGGCTTTGAAGAGACATGGCCTGGGTTTAGGTATCACCTCCACCATCTGCAGGTGAGCTTAACGAAAGCTTGCTCACTATTGAAAACTCAAGTTTCCTCCTCTGTAAAATGGGCACCTAAGGCGTGTAAAGGCTTCCTAGTGAGTGCCCTGGAAGATGATTCTTGAGGTGCTATTTCTTAGACTACCAGCAGCCAATCATAGCGTCCAGGATTGAAAAACCAACTTTCGGTCCTCGACTCAGAAAGACCCAAGAGTGGGTCAGAGCAATCTGTTCTAACACTACTTCCAGGTAACTCTGACCGAAGCAGAGAAGTCAGCACCTTGTCCGTAACTGCAGCAGCTCCCGGCGGCGACGTTCTGGAACTGACTCGGCCCTGGCTCCGCCCTCTTTCCCTTTTAGGGGCCCGCCTCATACGCTCGTTGATTGGTGAAGTCTCTGGTGGCGATTCGTCAATCACCCGACCTCAGACACAGAAACAGTTGAGGTTGCGCCTGAAGAGAGCAGTGCTCCTATTGGTTGGAAACCACGCCGCCGCGCCGGGCGTAAGCGCGGCAGACGCGTGACGCCGGTAGCAGTTGAAAAATGGCGAGTGTTTCCGAACTGAAAGCTGGTGAGTGCGCCGAGAGGACGCTCGCCAGCGGGAAGCGTCGCCCCTTCCGTCTATGATAGGGATGGGACGGAAGGAGAGCGCGCGGGACACCGGCTCGGCCTTTCCGGGATCGTTCTGAGGTGGCAGGGCCCGCCGGGGGGGAGGGGGCGGAATCGACCGCTGCGCATGTGCTGTGGGAGGGCCAGGCGACCTGGAGGAAGAGACTGAAATCTTTGTTTAGTGCTTGAGAGGGCTGCAGGTCTGTTCCTACGGACATCCATCTGAACCCCGCTGAGCCGACAGCGCCAAGTCTAGGCCTTGTGTTCAGGGCTGACCATTGACAACACTACAGCCACGATTGGTAACACAGTTCTTAACGATTTGCAGATAGATCCTCCAGGTCCTTTGAGATAAACCTGAGGCAGAGTTGCCCATCCTGGCGGTTCTTCGGGATTTTTCGGAAGAATTTTTCCAAAGTGGTTATGTGCAGGACCCTGGGTTCCATCTCCAGGACTGCAAAAAATAAAGAGTAACCATAAATAACACGTGTATCCTATCAGTTCTGATAATTATAGTTAATGTTTGCGTCGTAATTGTAGTTAAGGCTTAGTGTGTGATCCTCTCTTTCAGACACAACTCATCCGTGTTGATTCCATCTAACAAACCCTGTTCGCTACATTGGGAAGTTGAGGTAGAATATTTCATCCAAGATAATTTAGGTAGAAATAGACTGGCGTGGAACTCCCATAAGGTGCAGTAGCGTCTTAATCACTGAGCCACTCTGCTTCACAATGAATAAAACCAGTTCTGAGTTTCAAAGAATTCAGAGTCCAAGCCAGTGATGGTGGAAATTTGGAGAGGACCAAGTAGAGTAGCTTGGAGACTATAATTTAGTAACCACTGACAAAATACGTGTTGGTGAGCAATTCAAAACCAGACATGCCTCAGTCCCCAGGAGGGACTTCACATGAATCAGTGGAGTTCTTCTGGGAGTTGGGGATACATAACACATGTGAAATTGTATAAACTTCTCAAAGGACTTGAAAATAATTCTGTGGGAAATAAATCAGATTAAGACCGGCTCCCAATTGGAGAGATGGCTCAGAGGTTAAGAGCACTGGCTGTTCTTCCAGAGGTCCTGAGTTCAATTCCCAGCAACCACATGGTGGCTCACAACCATCTGATCTGGTGCCCTCTTCTGGCCTGCAGGGATACATGCGGGCAGAACACTGAATACATAGTAAGTAAATAAATAAGTCTTAAAAAAAAAAAAAAAAGACCTGCTCCCAAGCTGAGCAGTGGTGGTGCATGCCTTTAATCCCAGCACTTGGGAGGCAGCTCTCTGAGTTCAAGGCCAACCTGGTCTACAAGAACTAGTTCCAGGACGGTGACCTCTAATAGACTTGGAGTTTCTTCTTTACTTATGTTTTTCTGTATTCTCGGACTCTTGATATGCTTTGTGTCTAAGAAAAATGTAACGAAAACTTGGTCCTTAATTGATGATCTATTTTATGGGCCTTTTACTCACGTAAAGCACTCTTCCATCTCACCTGATCTTCTTTCTGAGAGTAGAGTTCATTACCACCAAGAAGGCAACCGAAGCATGAGTTAGGAATCTGCCACCAAGTCATGAAGGACATGCTAAGTTTTCCAGTGCCAGCTTCATTACTTTTTATTTTCTGCTGAGTATGAGGCTGTACTGTGTGTACTTCATAGTAATTGGAACAGGATGCTTGCCAGTGGAAAAGAATCTCTCCATTTAATTTCCAAAGATGGAACTAGAGAACAGGGGTTGTCTTATGATCTTAAGAGTATGATAAAGCTTTCCTTTTATGGGCCTGTTAGAAAGTAAATTTGTTGATAACTGCACCTACAGAAAGACTGAAGGGATGAATACTTTAAAACAAAGGAGAAGGAAGATGGAAAGTCTATCAGTGTATATCTTTAATCACATGACCAAGGATGCTGTTATTTACCAAAGCTTAGGAACTTTACTGATTGTACCTAAATGAATAAGCTGTCCTATGAATTTTTATTGTTGTGGCATATTAATAACACTTTTGCCACTGGCAGAGCACAGTGTTCTGTTAAACTACACTTTTTAGCTGGGTGATGATGACACACACCTTTAATCCCAGCACTTGGGGGCAGAGGCAGGCAGATCTCTATGAGTTGGAGGCCAGCCTAGTCTACAAAGGGAATTCCAGGACAGCCAGGGCTACACAGAGAAGCCATATCTCAAAAAATAAAACAGAAAACGAACTACTTTTTTTTTCACCAATAGTGTAAGGCACTATAGATATTATACATTTGTAATATTTTGTGAGCTCTTGCTATATTCTAGGTATTATATTGATTCTTCAGAATTGCCCTGTAGTCACAAAAGACTTTTTGAAAAGGGAAGGATCTGGATGGTAACTTTTTTTTTAATTGATTCTTTTTTAAAAAAATATTTATTTAGGGCTGGAGAGATGGCTCAGAGGTTAAAAGCATTGCCTGCTCTTCCAAAGTTCCTGAGTTCAATTCCCAGCAACCACATGGTGGCTCACAACCATCTGTAATGGGGTCTGGTGCCCTCTTCTGGCCTACAGGCATACATACAGACAGAATATTGTATACATAATAAATACAGGCATACATACAGACAGAATATTGTATACATAATAAATACAGGCATACATACAGACAGAATATTGTATACATAATAAATACAATATTCTGTCTGTGTGTATGCCTCCAGGCCAGAAGAGGGCACCAGACCCCATTACAGATGGTTGTGAGCCACCATGTGGTTGCTGGGAATTGAACTCAGGACCTTTGGAAGAGCAGGCAATACTCTTAACCGTTGAGCCATCTCTCCAGCCCCATAAATTGATTCTTTGTGGTTTCACATCATGCATCCTGATTCCATTCATCTCCACATTGCTTCACATCCACCCTCTGCCACTGCAACCTTCCCCTCCCCCAACATAATATTTAAAAGAAAGACAAACTAATAATACCAAAAAAGAAGTCTTGACATACATCTTTACTTGTAAGTGTTCATTGCAGTGAATCATTGGTCTGGTTCTAAGCCCCTGTTTTGGCTACTTTTGATACTGGACCCTCACTGGGACGCCTCTTTAATATTCTGTTGTTGTCCTATGTCATGGAGATCCTGTAGCTTTGAATCTGCAGGTTCGGCCCCTTCACATGCTCCAGCAGTTCATAGATGAGGTGGATGCTGGGTTAGGCCATCTCCTAGCTCTGGTTCTGGGCTGGGTGGTAGCAGGGTTGAGGCATGCATACTTCTGACTCCTTAAGTTAACGCTGGTATAGTCCTTTATTAGAGTCTCATTACATCTCTTTTTTTTTTAAGATTTATTTTTATTTGTGTTTCTCTATCTCTCTTTCTCTCTCTCTCTCTCTCTGTGTGTGTGTGTGTGTGTACATGTGTACATGAGTGCAGTTGCCTGTGGAGGCCAGCAGAAGAGGGCATCAGTTCCTCTGGAGTTATTGATGGTTGTGGGTACTCATATGGGTACCAGGAAGTAATCTGAAGTCCTCTGCAAGAACAATATGCTTTCTTAACTACTAAGCCATCTCTTCAGCCCCTTGTATTACATTTCTAACCAGACTTGAAATTTTAAAATCCTACTGTTGGGCTAGGGATGTTGGTTCCCTGTCATGCATGAGGCCCTGGGTACGATCCCCAGCAGCACATACATTGGGGCTGGTCGTGTACACCTGTTAATCCCAGCATATTCTACAGGAGGATCAGAAATTTAGGGTCATATTCAGCCTACATCAGAAGTTTAAAGTTAGCTTGGGTTATAGTCTAGGTATGAGACCCAAGCTGGTCTGACTTCCCAGCCTCCCAAGTACTGGAATTACAGGAATGTGCAACATTCCCAATTCTAGTTCCCCTAAAGCAGAACAGAACCAAAACCTGCAACACTTTTTTTTTTTTTCAAGAATCAACAGAGAAACCCTGTCTGGAAACAAACAAACAAAAATCAGCTATGGATTTCAGTCAGCCAGATATGTAGTGGCACACTTGAGAAAGGCAGGCGGATCTCTGTTAGTTCCAGGCCAGCTAGGACTGCATAGAGAGACCCTGTCTTGAAAAACAAAACCAAGTCAGCTATGGATGTCAGAAGTTTTTCTCTGTCAACAATAATGATATATTCCTTCTTTTTCTGGAGGATAGTTGTTTTCCATAATCATCTTTCCAGACTAAAGGTCATAGTAGTATCTGCGTCCCCTATAAATAGACAAACACTTGAACATCTGTGGGAGACTCGGGGGTAAACAATCTTTATTCAGTTCACCCTTTCCCCCCATCAAACTATAGTCCCTAACTAAAGATGCATCATGGATAAACTTGAATTTGCACAAATACGTTGAGAGTGGATTATACTATGAGTACTTTAATTTTTACAAATAGAGCTTAAGATATTGAAATTGTTTATCTTTCTCTTTAAACTAAGAGCTATATTTGTGTCCTTTTTATTCTTTAGCACATACCTGAAATTTCAACAGTTAGTCTATAACAGAACCGTTTATATTTTCTATTTCACAGTTTTAAAGGACACCTTGGAAAAAAAGGGAGTGTTAGGACATTTAAAAGCAAGGATCCGTGCTGAAGTTTTCAGTGCCCTGGATGATGATCATGAACCCCGACCATCATTGTCTCATGAAAACCTTCTAATTAATGAATTAATTAGGGAGTATTTGGAATTCAACAAATATAAGTACACAGCCTCTGTCCTCATAGCAGGTAAGTGGTTATTCATCTCTGAAGAAAACCTCTGCTTTATGCTTTTTTTAATTCTCAGAAAGCAGCCTAAATATGTAGTTTTATTACTCTGTCATGCAAGTGACTGAACACATATTGTCCTGTGGTCTCTTGTCAGCATGAACAAGTTTTGGTGAGCTTTATGCTGTCGGGGAAAGTAAGAGCTAGGACCTTCTACTGCAGGTTTCATGTAATACTATGCACACATGCTCATAAAGGATATGGTTTTGATATGTTGAAGGTTCTCTAAAGATCTAGTATTAGTATCTATTTCTCTCAGATTATCATAGCTGTCTGTATAATACTATCAACACTCCAGAGGGGAAATTTTTTTTTTTTTTTTGAAAATGCCATCACCTAAGTGTGTATTGTCCCTAGGATGAAATAGTAACAGTGCTGTCTTTCATATCAAGTGTTTCATTGTTTTAGATTGGTATTGTTGCTAATGCCTATAATCGCAGAAACTCAAGGAGCTAAAGCAGGAGGACACTGCTTCAAAATAAAAACCAGAAAAGCACTGGGGCTGTAGCCCAGTGTTAGAACTCATGCCTAATGTGTGAGGCCAGAGGCTAATTCCCAGCACAGGGGAAGGTGGGGAGGAAAGAAGAGAAGACAGACTGAGTTTCTATTCATCAGGTTTGCCTTTTCCATCATGCCATGTAAGTGCAGGCCTCCAGGACTTGCCTTTTGATGCTGCCTCACTTTACCTGGTAAAACTCATCAGAGGTTCAGTCATGTTGACTTCTACCCGGTGAATGGGGTAATGCTGTGGCTGTGCCATTTTTTTCTGCTCTCATAGACAGTTTGGCTGTTTATACTTTCTGGCAGCAGTGAAACAAATCCTCAAAAACATTTATATGAAGCTTTTGTGTGACCTTCATTTTATTTTTGTAAATAAATAGCTAAAGATGAAATTGCTATATTGTCTGGGAAGTGAATGCTTCCCTTCAGGTAATAACTGCCACTGCTTTTGAGTGACTCTATTGTTTCACTGTCTCATCTGGGAGGTGGTGGCTCACATGTGTAGCCCCAGCGATCAGGAAGCAAGGGTAGAAGAATTAAGGCCAGTCTAGGTCCCATAGTGAATTTGAGACCAGTGTGTGCTAGAGTAAGACTCAGTCTAATAATTTATAATTTTAACTTTAGAATTACTGTCCCTAAATGGATATATATTTTAATGAGCTATTTATTATTATCATGTGTTTAATCTATAAGCATCTTAGGAAGCTTACTGAAGTCCAGCATTATAATTTTAGATTCAGAAACCATATTACCAATCACAAATTGGGGATATAAAAAGTGAGTATGTGTTAAGCTGTAATTAAGTTCTACATTTGATTGCATTGGAGTTTGTTGGCATAAAGTCATATGCAATTTGATCTGTGTTGGTATGTGCTGTCAGCATTCTACCAAAGTCTGAGAAATGTGTGTACCTAGGAATTATGGTTATTATCAAAATTAAGTTTACCTTTTAGATTAATAGACTCAGTGTTTTCCTGAACTTTTTCCCTCCAGAATCTGGTCAACCTGTAGTTCCATTGGACAGACAGTTTCTCATCCGTGAACTGAATGCCTTTGAAGAATCGAAGGATAACTCAATGTAAGAAGTTTTTAAAAGAAGTTTGCAGATGTTGCATTCAGTGCTGCCTATGACTCATTTTAATCCAGCAGGAACTTACTGGGGTTTACTGTATGTTACATACTTTATGAGGTCCAAGCAGCGTGGCAGCAGGTAAGTCACCTGAGGTCTCTGCTGCAGCTGAGCTTGTTGTGTCTTCAGAGAACTGAATATCTAACCAACCACCATGCCTGCCTGCCTCTCTCCCTCTTGTCCTCCCTTCTTTCTTTCTCTTTTTCTTTCTTTCTTGAGGGCTTTTTCCTCAGTTTGTTTCTTTCAGTGGTGATAATTGAACCAGAGCCTTAACTGCTTGGGATGCAACACACCCTGTACCCTGAGCAGTCTCCTTGGCCTGGCTCTCTATTTTCTGTTTTAAACTTAAAAAAAAAAAGTGTTTATGTGGATGCGTGTTTTGTCTCCATGCATACTGCTCACCACATACATGTGGCCTTGGAGCTGGAGTTACAAGTGGCTGTAAGCCACCAAGTGAGTGCTGAGCACTGAAACTGGTCCTCTGGAACAACAGCCAGTGCTCTTAATTGCTAAGCAGGCCACCTCTCCTGCTCCCCCTTCGGCCTTCTTACTTCTTTCTAAGGATGATTTTTCTTGGCCTCTTGATCTTTTTTCTTCTAAGGCTTTGTTCTTTAAGTTGCTTTCTTCTTCATATTTAACTCTTCCTCATTGCTTTCTTCACTCCAATGTAGAAACAAACTCAGATCTCTTCTGTAAAATTGAAAAAAAGAAGAAAAAAAAGCCTTCCCATCAACTTCCTCTCACCCTACTACTGCTTTATATTCTTTAATTGCTAGGTCTGCCCTCTGTATTCATGTTACTGTCCCTCTTTCTTCTGCTATCTTCAGTGCTCCTTCTCCTTGTTTATACTCACCATTTCTTAGTTCTTTCCCTGTGTTTAATACTTTTTACATTTTTCCATAGAGTCCCTAACTGGCTTAGTTTGTACCTAGTGCCAGAGTACATGGCTCAACTCAGCTTTACTAGCTGGAAATTTCTTTGAAAACTCATGTTTTCTTTCTAAAAGCTTATTGAATTTTTTCATTTGTTTTTATGGTATAATTATGTTTTGTTTTACCATAAATGGTTTTATATAATATGCCACTTAAACTAGCACTCCCTCAGTGTTGTCCTATTCCTAGAGCCAAGTGTATGCCTGTTTTTGCAACATGTAATACTGACTTCTTTTCTCCACACTGTTTCCTGTCCTGTTTCTTGTGGTTCTTCACTGTTGTAAGAGTTCCCAGTGGTAGTCTTGTTTTCTTCATTGACTCCTTTAAATCATAAAGTATTTAGCAGGTTCTGTCTTCTACTTTTATTTCTACACCCCCTCCCCACCATATTCTTGAATCTCTAGGGAGGTCTATATGGGGCAGATGTGCTAATTTTCCTGAGTTGCTCATGTGGTGTCCAGAAGACAAGGGTGCTCTTTGTGCTTTCTCACACCTTCCTCATAAGCTGCTCATGAGCTGCTCAGGTTTTGTTAGATTTTTGTTTTTGTTTTCTTTTCTCTCAAGACAGGTTTTCTCTATGTAACAGCCCTGGCTGTTCTGGAACTTGTCTTGTAGACCAGTCTGCCCTTGAACTCACTGACTTCTGAGTGCTTGCATTAAAGGCATGTGCCACTATGCCTGGTTGCTGCTCAGATTTTAAAGGCAGAGTCCACAGGAAGTTTAAAGGGAACTCTTTCTCTGGCCAGTCCTTTCCCCATACTATTGACTCTGCCTCTGGGTGTCTGTTCTCACTGTCCTGTGCCATGCTGCTCACACTGTTAAGGAGCCACCTGACTAGTTTATCAGCAGTCGCTCTTTTTCAAGCTGATTTTCTCCTGCCCTCTATCTTTCTATGGCAGCTACTGCATCATTTATAGACACTTAATAAATGTCCATTATATACATGAGCAAGTCACAACCCTTAGCATGGCTTCCAGCTCCAGTGGCTTTACCCACCTCACTGGCACACAGCTCATTGCAGCTTCATGGTTCTTTGCCTTTGCAACAATTGTTCCCTCTTCTGGAAGTTTGAGATCTCTCTTCTTCCTCAACTTCTGTGGGATCACCTTTCATCTTCTTGGCCCTATTTAGATGCTCCCACAGGAGTTGGGAAGGAGAAAGAAGTTACCCACAGGTTTTTGACTATGAATATTTTGTTCTCATTGCAATGGATTTCAGTTACCACAAAAACTGATTATCTGCATAAAATCAAGGTGACCTGGAGAAGGAGAAAAGAAAGCATTTCGTAGTTCCACAGTTTCATGTTTTCTTCTCTTTATACTTGTCTTTGTGCTGATATGATATGACTTCAAAGGGTTTCAACAGCAATCTTAAACAGACTACAAAGGAATATAATGGTTGTTATACTACATGATTCAAGTAAGTGCAGAGTATTACTATAGTGGACTGTTACTATAGTATTAGATATTTAGAAACTTCCAGTTGCGTTTTGATGTTGTTTTGCATTGAGCATCGAGATGCTGTGTAGCTTTGTGCTCGACAGGTGAAGAGCTCTTTCTGAAGGGAAAGCTTTTTTTTTTCCTTTTTTGGTTTTTCGAGACAGGGTTTCTCTGTAGCTTTGAAGCCTGTCCTAGAGCTAGCTCTTTTAGACCAGGCTGACCTCGAATTCACAGAGATCTGCCTGCCTCTGCTTTCTGATTGCTGGGATTAAAGGCGTGTGCCACCCCCGCCCGGCCTTGAAGGGAAAGCTTTAAGGCACCAGGTGTGAGTGATGACCGCAAGCTGACTGCTTGCGTATACTTGCTTTGTGTATTAACATCAAGTAGCATGAGCCCTTAGAGAGGAGCAATGGCCTGAGTGAGGTGAAATCTTTTTTAAAGTGGTCATGGTGAAAGTATTGGTGTTTTGCTACAAAACGTGTAATGGCGGAGAAAACTGTAATGTTGTCTCCATCTGCCCACTGGCACCTCTCACTCCCCAAAGGTGACCCAGTGAACATTTTTCCCTTGCATTATTCGGATACAAGCTCACCACTTAAAGCACAACTGTGTGTATTTTCTTCCACTTAGTGAGGGAATTGTGTATATACATCTCTTTTTCAAACACTTGCAGTCTTCTTATTTGGGGGGGTTATTTTGTTTCAGGTTTGTTGTTGTTGTTTTTGTTGCTGTTGTTCTTGTTATCTACACAGAATATGAAGGTGTCTATTGAAGGCTGTCTTCCTCTGCTTTCTTTTCTTACCATATCTTCCCCTTTTGTTGTAAACAACTCTCATGTTCTTAGGTCACTGTGGATTATTTATTCCTGTATTGATGAGGTATTTTCCAGCATTTTACTATTCTGCCAAAACCTACCTAACACCTGCTATCATGTGGGTTACTGTTGGAGATGTGGCGGCATACTATTTTCTGAAGTGTTACCAGATACGCACAAAAGACCATTGAACCACATTCCCTCTTGGTCATTCTTGAGGTACATAAACAAAGCATGTGCCTCAAGAAATCCTGCCACAGAAAGAGCCTTTGTCATCTAACTTGATAACCAGATTTATTGGGTGAAGAAATCTCTAAGGGGCATAGTCCTCCTCTTTGCGGAGATAGTGGCCATGGGTGCCGTAATCACTGCATTTGAGTGTTGTGCAAAACAGTGAACAATGCTTTATACATTTGGACAGTTTTTGAAATGTGTGAAAAAAGTCTCTAAGAGTACCTTAGTCAGTGTTTTATTGCCATGAAGAGGCATTATGACCACAGCAACTCTTACAAAGGAAAGCATTTAATTGGAGCTGACTTACCATTCCAAAGGTTTAGTTCATTTTCATCATGGTAGGAAGCATGGCAGCACACAGGCAGACATGGCGCTGGAGAGGTAACTGAGAGTTCTACATCTGGATCTGCAGGTAGCAGGAAGTGAGGAGACACTGGAACTGGCTTGGTTTTTGGAACCCCAAAGCCCATCCCCAGTGACGTACTTCCTCCAACATGGCCATACCCCTTAATGTCTCTCATGTATCCCCACCCCCTAATTACCGAACATTCAAATATATGAGCCTATGGGGGCCATTCCTTCTTCGACTACCACAATAGCAAAAGGTGGTGAGCAGTTGGGTATGAGGTCATTCAAGCAGAAGGCATTGTTTGCAGTTAGCAGGTGTTCGGAGCTCTTAGATTTTTTCCTAGCCTTTTAGTAGCCTCTGAGACAGTTGCCTCAGATGAGCCAGTTAAAGAGGAAACTAGTGACCAGCTTTATTTCCAGAAAGGAGCATCTTGCTGCTCTTTGGGAATTGGGGGGTATACGTGCTGAAGATCAAACTTGGGGCTTTGCACATGATAGGTGAATGCTTTCCCACTGGGCAACAACCCTTGCTATACTTTTCTGTATGTGGCCTTTTTTTTTTTTAATATTTTTATTTATTTATTTATTATGTATACAGTGTTCTGTCTGCATGTATGCCTGCAGGCCAGAAGAGGGCACCAGATCTCATTACAGATGGTTGTGAGCCACCATGTGGTTGCTGGGTATTGAACTTAGGACCTCTGGAAGAGCAGTCAGTGCTCTTAACCTCTGAGCCATCTCTCCAGCCCTGTATGTGGCCTTTTAAAGCTTATTTTTGCAAAGATACTTTACTGTCTATGAAATTGTAGGCTAAATGTGCTAATTATGTATTATCTAAAGCAGTTTAAGATTTCTGACACTTAAAATCTCAAGTAGATTCCATCCAAGTTAGAAGTAAAACCTTTAGCAGTCTCAAACAAGTTGACTGTAAGGGACAGAGGTCATGAAGCATATCCTGATATGATTTCCTACTGAGCCTGTGCTGCTCCTTGGCCTGGAGGAGCTGCTGAAGCACAGTCATGTGCTCCTGTCCCACACATCACTCCAGAACTCACTGTATCAGGGTATTGGGAACTGTACTCACCTGAGTGTAGACCCAGATTTCTTGAGATTTCAGGCTTCTAGAGCCTTAACTGAAGCCATGGGATCTGCTTTGGACTATCTCAGTGCCTCACACATGTGCCTGTCTGTGGGACTGCCTGAACGTCCTTAGGCTGTGCCTCTCACAGAAAGTGATACAAGAAAGCAAGTAATAAACCCTTGTCCTTACCACCTTGTTCCATTGGTTGAAGTAAGTGAGGCTCAGTAAAGTATAATGGGTTTAGTAGACACTGTTTTCAATAGACACACCATACTTTGAGCAATTATACCAACTGGGCAGGAGATGGATATCTCAAAAGTAAATGTATTTACTTGTATTTTTAGGGGTGAGCTTGGAAGCAAAGGGATTTTGACTTTTGTGCTGTCAGCAGACCGGCCTTCAGTGACAAGGGACTGATTAACAGAACTCTAGGTGACATATTTTAAGGAAAAGCACATAGGAGTTGGTTATATGTGTAAATGTCCTTACCCCTGAGAGACCCTAGCACATTACTGAGGCCTGGTTTTCTCATTAATAAGTTGGTTGTAGTATAGTGATGGGTAAGAGATAACCACAAAGCAGCCTTTTAGTTACTACGCAACTCTCATGTGACCAAAATTAATGTGCCTTTTACTGTGTGCAAGGTGCACAGCTAGAAGCTTGACATTGTGAACTCATTCACAACACACCAAAGGGACTGCTCAGACCCTTTAAGGAAGAGAAACATCTGTGAGCTTCAGGAAACTAAGATCTTCCAAGGTCTGCAACTGACTGTTGGCAAAGCAGGAAACCAATTTTAGGTTCTTGGAAGGTTTTAGGCTGGGCTTGGAGTTGACAAGCTGAGTTCCAGTGGGTTGATTGTAATTTTATTTCAGTTTAGATGTTTTAATGGTATTAATGTGTTTTCTGGCGGCTTAAAAATTCTCAAGAGCCAGACGGTGACAGAGGCGGCGCACACCTTTAATCTCAGCACTCGGGAGGCAGACGCAGGCGGATCTCTTAAATTCAGGGCCAACCTGGTCTAAGAGTTTCAGGGTATCCAGAGAAACCCCATCTTGAAAATAAAAACTTCTCAAGTTAATTGGTAGTTTTAAACAGAGAGTAACCATCTGCCACTTGGATAATAATCCTGTGTCTTTTGCGATCTAGTGAGTTAAAGGGCAGCTTCAGTGTCAGAGTTACCTTTAAAGCAAATGTCTTAAGCTTTTTCTACCTATGGGAAATGAATTGATTTTGGTTTTGCCTTCTTCCTGAAATAGTCCTCTGTTATATGGAATTTTAGCCCATTTCTTGCGTGGTCCTCCAGATGGCATCCAGAATGTGCTTCTGACAGAGTCAACACTCCAGCCTCCAAACAGGCATCTCAGCTGGAAGCCCAGCAGAAAACCAAAGGGTAGGTGTTTCCAACGCGTTCTCCTTTAACTTCATTGACTTTGTTCTCCTCTGGAGCTTTTGAGTCCTAGCTTAATTACGCTTATGTCTAGCCCAGTGTTTGCCTAACCTCCTGCTTTCAGAAAAGAAAATCTTGACTGGGCAAAGTGATATAATTTCAAAGGCAAGGTCTTGAAAGAAACCCCGACTTTCACATCAGTGGGGTCTTTGGAACTGCCTGGCTTACCACACTGTATAATTTTCTTTGAAATCAAGAAGTCCGGCCCCCCTCCACCTTTCCCAGACTAAAAAATACAAGGCAAGATTACTACTGTACAGAGAAGCCATGTCTATGTGTGCCATTACATTTTCAGAGACTTTCTGTGGTAGATAACAGTTACCTACAGATAACAGATTCTTTTTCAAAATACTTTTGGGGCAGGCTCTCACTCTAGTTCTGGCTATCCTTGAGCTTACATCAGTCTTTTTCTTTAACCTCTTAATACCAGGATTAAGTGCAAGAGCCTCCATACCTTGCTCAGAATGCTCACCTTTAAAATGAGCTTTCAGAGTAAAGCATGTGATTCAGGCTTGTAATTTATGCAGTGAAGATAAAATCATAAATAAGTAAAGAAGATAGGAATAATAAAGCGAAATGAATTTTTGGTTAATTTGATCACATTGGCAACAGGTTCTGAGTTGGTTGTTTGAACTGAGTGCTTTGTAACTGGGTGTTTTCCCATGTGGTAGAGTTGACACTCTTTCTCAAAGGGTGGTGGTTACAAGTGGGGGCCTTTACATGAGAGTTGAAATAAATTCATAAGTAGTGCCCAGGATGCAAATTGCTCTGTGAAGTTTTTCTTTTTTCTTTTCCTTTGTTTAGATTTTTTCCTGACCATTATCCATAACAACCTGTAACCAACATTCTAAACAAAAGAAAATATCCATAGTCCATTTTTTGGGAATGTGGTCGTAGTTTTTCAGGCTACTTCCTGCTGAATTGGGGTGCTGATAATCTTATAGGGACCTAGAGAAAATTTAGAATTATGATCAAGTCGTGACTGGAGTATCCTGTGAGGCTTGGTCATTTCAGCCAGCAGTCTGACTCCTCTCAACAGTCTTGAGACTGTTCTGGATGTAGGACTCAAGACATCTGGGCTATCTGCTCCTATCAGAGATTTCTCAGGATTGATCAAACCTTATTTTTCTTAGCCTAGAATAAATCCATAGGCTCTCATTTTCTGTGGAAACAAAAACAAAACCTCTTCTCCAAAGTAACATATCTTTTGAATTTTTCAGCAAGGCAGTCACATCTTGCTTGCTCTCCTGTGAGGTTTTTCTAAGCCTCTATGACCAGCACTGCCATGTGAGTGACTTGCTGCCTCTTAGCTTCTGAAAGTGACATACTTGTGAGTCAGAATAAGGTTATTTGTGACTTGACTAGTTCTGTTCTCTCTGTTGTGAAACTGAGCTGACTCAGTTGGACAGACAATCGTTCTACTAACTTCCAGAGACTCAAGACTGGGAGAATAGTTACTCAGTGCAGGCCAAGGTTCAACACAAGGCTACCATCCAGGCACAGCCCGAGCACGAGTGTAGGAGCTTTCCATGCTCATGCTAGACATCGCCAAGGCTCAGACACTAGGGCAGAATACTATTTTACAAATACTTAGAATGCAAAATAAGCCACTAACCATGTCAGTACATGTAGAAACCTCTGAAATTCTCCCATTTCCCTTTAACAGTCTCTCTACTCTGCCCATCCTAACTTCCCAGATTCCCTCTCTTCCATGGAAGATGGTCCTGTTGACCTTTTATTAATCTCTAGTCTGCATGTGTGTTACCTTGCAGGGTGCTTATGGAATGGGGGTTGAGTCTCAGTAGTGTGATATTGCCACAGATGTATTTTTACTGATGAACTGGGGCTAAGGATTTGGTTTTAAATTCTGTAAGGTTGTGTCTTTGTCTGTACATACAAGTATCTCTCCTGTGGAAGTTCCTAAAGCAGAATTCCTGGTTCACAGACAACATGGGTGTATTTAAACATATAATCCATATTATTTAGTCCCCTAAAAAGGCTTTAGTAGTTTTCACACTTAAAGAATGCATGACAGTACTCAGTTCTTGTTCCTGGTGGTTGCTGATGACACATGAATACTTGTTAACACAATAACCACAAGATATTCTTGAAGAAAAATAATGTTTTGAGAAGTAGCTTCTGGTTTGTAAATGTGTTAGAATCTCCTTAATAGTAATGTTAATGGTAGTAGAGAGTTGAAAGTGAGGAGAGTTAGTCATTAACCAGGATTCTTCTGGTCACCTTTCTCTGCTGGGAGGGAGGGAGGAGGCAGGCAAGCTGGGAATCGAGACTTGCTTTGATGTGTAATAGTGTAGGTACAGTCAGTAAAGTGACTTTGGGCACCTGCTCTGTAGAAAACTCCAGAGGAAGCTCATGAGTGAGGTGACTACAGAGCTACAGGGACAGTGATTTTATAATTTCTTTCTTTCTTTCTTTTCTTCTTTCTTTTTTTTTTTTTTGTTGTTGTTGATTGTATTTTGAGATGGGTCTCAGTGTACCCAAGCTGGCCTGGAACTAGCTCTGTAGACCAGGCTGGCCTCAAACTCAGAAATCCACCTGGTTCTGCCTCCAAAGTGCTAGGATTAAAGACTTGTATCACCGTTTCTGGCTTGCAAATTATTTTCTTAACACATTGACCTTTGTGTGCAATGCCTTGAGACGAGCCCTCAGCCGTAGGATCATCTGTAACATGGTTGCTCTCTAAATCCAACCTGACTGCACTTGACAGCTCATCTTGCTTAAATGGAAGGTAAGATGCTGTCGAGGATCACATAGATTCCCACCCTCAGAAGGACAGCATGTCACCTAGTCCTGTGGTAAATAGATGTGATCTTTGAGGCAGAGTAGGTTTTGTTTTAAATAAAAGTTGAAGTTTTTATGATGGAAAAGCCATCTCAGTTCTGCTTTAATGCACATCCGTCAGTGTACTTTAAAGTGCAAAAATAACATAGTTTGGACCAAGGAGGTGGCTTAATAGGTGGGAGACATTTACTGTCAAACCCAACAACCTGACAGCTTCAGGCCCTCACAACAGAAAAAAAGGAACCAACTTCTAAAAGTTGTCCGTTGAAGCCAGCAGTGGTGGTGCCTGCCTTTAGTTCTAATATTCGGGAGGCAGAGTCAGGTGGATGTCTGTGAGTTGGAGTCTAGCCTGGTCTACAGAGCTAGTTCCAGGACAGCCAGGACTGTTACACAGAGAAACCCTATCTCCAAAAGCCAAAAAAAAAAAGTTGTCTTTTGGTTTCCACGTATTCCTGTTGTGGCCTGTGTGTACACACTCACATGTATGCATATTTGCAAACATGCACACAAAGAAAGAAATTTAATTTTAAAAGGCCCTTTATTTTTTAATTTAAATTTTAATTTTATCTGTGTTTGTCTTTTTTATTTTTTTTTTTAAAGACAGTATTTTTCCATGTAGCCCAGGCTGGCCTCACACTGGTGATAGTCCTCTTGCCTCAGCTGGGATTATAGGCATATGCCACTACACATGACTCAGACATTTTTTTAAAATTAAGTTTTATATTTGTTTTTTTTTGTGTGTGTGGGGGGGTGTAGGTGTTTGCCTGCTGTGTGTCTGTGTACCATGTACATGCCTGGTACCCAAGGAGGCCAGAGGAGGACATCAGATTTCCTTGAATTAGACTTACAGGCCAGTTCATTGTGAGCTGCCATGTGGGTGCTAGAAACTGAACCTGGTTCCTCTACAAGAGCAGTAATTGCTATTAACTGCTGAACCATCTCTCTAACTTGGCATGTGTGCCTCTAGCTCCAGCATTGGTAGAGCAGAGACAAAGAAATCTCCATGTTGATCAGAGTGGCCCTGACTTGTATTTATCCTTCTACCCCAGCCTCCCAAGTGCTGGGGTTACAAGTGTGTCTCCCTATACCTAGTTTATCTTGGGTTTTTATTTTATTTAGTTATCATTTATTACACTTATATGTATGTGCACACATGTGCTATAGTACATATGTGGACATCAGAGAGCAACTTATAGGAGTCAGCTCAGTTCTTCCATGTAAATTTCAGGGATCAAAGTTGGAGATCAGACTTGGTGGCAAGCGTCTTTACCCACTGAGCCATCTTGCAGGCTCTAAAAGCACTTTCCACAATTTCCTGAATAGTGTTCCAGTTTTCATACAAAGATATAAACTACTCCTTTTTTGTTGCCACATGAGGGCTTAGCTAGCAGGCAGTCATAGTAGCTTTGTTCAGTCACTGGGACACACATGGTGGAAGGAGAGAACCGTGTCACTCAAGTTGTCCTCTGACCTCCACATACGTGCCTGCCAGTCCTCACCCCCACAGGTCAATATATGTTATAAGACAAAAACGCATAAAATACTAATATATTGCCCTAAAATAGATAGAGGTGTGTTTGCCTGTCTGCCTGTTTTGATTTGTAGTATTAACACCTATATATTCTCTCTAGATGACCACCCGAGGAAGGACACAGTCCTGAGCAGCACGACTGAAGAGCTGCATGCTGCTGCACACGCAGTCAGTAGATGACTCTCTGATCTCAGCTGTGTATGTGGAGTATTAGACTACCACTGTTTGTAAACGTTTGAGCTTCTACAAACATCCAGCCTCAAATTTTACTGTATCTGTGAAAAGCTAATCCATGCTAAAAGCCACTGGAGAAAAATATATATTGTTTTCAGGATTGTTTTTTTGTTTTGGTTTGGTTTGGTTTTTTACTTTTTTGGTTTTGTGAGACAGGTTTTTTTGGTATAGCCCTGGCTGTCCTAGAACTCACACTGTAGCCCAGGCTGGCCTCAAACTCACAGAGATCTGCCTGCCGAGTGCTGGAATTAAAGGTGTGCGCCACCACTGCCAGGCCAGAATGTATTTTTTAAAGTTCTTAAGTTTGTGAAAACTGAAATGTACTTTGTACTTTATTCTTTGTCCTTTTTCCTCTCTTTAAAGGCCATCACCAAGGGCTGTGGATGTGCTTCCAGTGAAGCACTTGCCTCACATGTGTATCCTCAGTTTAGTCCTCGCACTGAGAAAAAGAAAATGCAAGTACAGATCTTTGTCTGTATGCTCTGTTCATTAAACTTCCTTCAGCTAGAATTATATAGACCTGTGGAAAAATTCATTCATGTTTTGAAAAAATTTAAAGGGCATAAAACCAAAATTTATTCCTTTAAAATTTGATATTTAAGAAATCACTGTCTGCTCCAGCTAGTTTTGTCTAAGCTGACACAGTTAGAGTCATTTGGGAAGAGGAACTCTCAGTTGAGAAATATTCCTCCATCAGACTGGCTTATGGGCAAGCGTGTAGTACATTTTATCAATGATTGATGTGAGAGGGTCCAGCCCATTGTGGATGGTTGGTCCTGGGTTCAGTAAGAAAGGCCGAGCAGGCCATGTTAAGGAAGTCAATATGTAGCTCCTCTCTGTGGTGTTCTACCCTGGCTTCTTTCAGTGGTAGCTTGTGATATGGAACTATATCCTGAAATAAACCCTCTCCTTCCCAAGTTGCTTATGGTCCTGGTCTTTACAATATTAATGAAAACCCTGAGACACTCTAATGTTGATCTTTAAATTAAATAATAATGTTCTTTTCCCAAGAACAGTGTGGCTTCTACTAGGGAATTTAATGAAAAGGTAACAGGGGAAGTAATTTTTTTAATTTTGTTTTAGTGAAGCAGGGTTTATTTTATTATATAAAGAATGTAAGGACAAGGCTTTGGGAGAAGTGCCATGTAGGAACTTAATGGAAGTGTTACCAGAGCTCCCTGTGCAACTCCTCCTGCACACAGTGATGGCTGCAGAGGTGCCATCTTTTGAGAGACTTAGTAAACAGGAGTTTTGATTCTTAGGATAGGAAAATCATAAGAGCTGCTTATACTGTTATGCCTCTGAATGCTACTTTGCTGTTTTTCAAGGTTATTTTTCTAGTGTACGTAGCTACAGCCTTATTTCATGGAACACAGCTGTTCCATCAATGGTTCCTTACTGTCAAGAGTCACACAGCATAAGAGTTGCACAGTTTTATTACAGATAAACTAGCATGGGGGATACAACTTAACAATGCATAGCCAAGTATGTGCCACAGGAAGAGAGCTGTTACTGTCATAACATTGGTGACTTGGAATGTTACCAGTTTGAGTTGTATTTGGTGATGCTAGTCATCCACTACTCAAAGATGAATTGATAACATTCCTGTTAACGCAGAACATGATGAAGGAAACCCCTTTAAATGGTCTTCACCACTCTAAAGTTCTTAGAAACCCTGTTGGATGAAAGGGATCCATAAATGCAGTTTTACAAGAACCCATTTCCATTTTTTCTTTTCAATGTAAAAATAGAAATGTATTTAAAATATGTTTCCTGTTGATCATTCTTACTGTACTTTGAGCAAAGAGAATAAGCTGATATTGTACTTATAAGCACAGTAAAAGGAAGAACAGCCTGTTAACATTGACAAGCAAAGGGTAAATTGCTGGCTAATAAAGGGTGCCTGCTCCTGTAATGTGTGTATCAAAAAGGGCTCAGTACCTGGACACCTCCAGATCTAGAGGCAGTACAGAGCCATACAAACAGCAGCCCAGGAATAGTGCTGATCCCCATTCCTGATGAGGGCTTTGTTTCTCTCCTGTTTTATCAGAGAACATCGGGCACAGTTCTGTTTTGGAGTGGCAGAATAGGCACCATCACCAAAAACTGATGACTTGCAGTGGTCATTTAATATACTGACAGTTGAAATCTAAAATGCATGAAATATCTGGTATTAAAAATTAGAGCCCCTTAAATTGAAGTGTGTTATGTCCATATTCTTTTTCATACTTTGCAAGCATGGTATAGAATATACATTCTGTTGAATTGGCTGAATCAGGGCTTATAATGGCTGAGTCTTCTGTTTTGTTGTCTTTGTCAATTTTACAGCCTTGAAATGCCATTTCTGTGGTGCCTGTTCTGCAGTTTTGGTTTTCCCAGAAGATAATTATTTCAGTATTAACTTGGAGATTTTCCTTGGTTGCATGAATCACCTCCAGTATTTCTCACAAATTCACTGTTTTTCTCTTTTTAAGATTTTATTTTTATGTAAATGGGTTTTACCTGCTTGTGTATTTGTGTACCATGTGCATACAGTGCCTTAGAGGCCAGAAAAGGGTATCATATCCCCTGGAACTGTAATAACAGGAAGTTGTGAGCCACCATGTGGGTGCTGGGAACTAAACCCAAGTCCTCTGCAAGAGCACCCAGTTTTCTTAATCTCTGAGCCATCTCTCCAGCCCCCAAATTAACTCTTCCTTAATACTTCACTGTTAGAATATGTGCTTGTGTGTACCGTTTCTTCCATAGGCTGAGTCCTGCCATCACAGCCTTCTTAGAGATTTAGAGAATGTTTTTTAATAGGACTTGTGGTTAATTCAGTATGGGCAAGACAGATACAATATTTAACAAGTGTTTTGGCATCTGTAGCTTTTGTTAGCAGGTCAGACAGGGTGCTTATAGTTCTTGGGGCAGCCCTTACTAATCAGGCTGGATATTTCCAGTGGTAGAACTGCCAGGGGTTCTGTGGAGGCCTTATTTCTGGGCATGTGCATGTTACTATGGTGATTGTTGTGGTAGTCAAGGTCATAGCTGAGTCTGTAACCCTTCTGCTGTTTATACAGACCAAGGCTTTGCAGCTTTGGAGATAGTTGAAGAACTTTATTTATTGCAGAGTTCTGTCTCTGGCTTACAGAGACTTTCTGAATGAATTAATCTTAGACCCAACAATGTAGCCATGACCAAAGCTGCATGGGCTTCTTGGTCTTCCTGCAGTCACTTACTTGACTCTGTTATTCTCAGGGGAGAGGTTAAACATTGTATCTGACTTTGGAAATCATATTTAATTGGTAGGGACTGCAATCTGATGATCATTCTTAAAGTTATTTCTAAATTGGTTAATTTATTAGAAGATTTTACAGAAATACTTATGTTTGCTCTTTATAGTTTTTTTTTAGTTTTTTTGTTTGTTTGTTTTTTTGTTTGTTTTGTTTTGTTTTTCAAGACAGGGTTTCTCTGTAGCTTTGGAGCCTGTCCTTTGGAGCTCTTGTAGACAAGGATGACCTCGAACTCAAAGAGATCCGCCCACCTGCCTCTGCCTCCAGAGTGCGAAAACTAAAGGCATGCACCACTGCCATCTGACAAGGATTTTTGATATTTCTTTTAAAAATACTTTTTAGGTTTACATGTGTGAACACGTGTGTGTGTATAGGTGTTCATGTATGTAGGTGCAGAGGTGCTGGGTCCCTCTGGAGCTTGAGACACAGGTAGTTGTGAGCAGCAACCAATCCTGAGCTTTCTTTCCAATCCCTCAGTATCTTCTTCTCTCTCTGTCTTTGGCGCTCTCTCTCTCTCTCTCTCTCTCTCTCTCTCTCTCTCTCTCTCTCTC